GAGCAGAGGGCCCTGAGAGGTCAAAAGCAGGTATGAAGAGTAATGAGTCAGTTAAGCGTTGAACATCCCAGTATTTTTTTTGAAGAGCAGGTATGAGTAACTTACGAGATGGAGTCTCAAGCAGTTAAGCAACCTGCAGCTGGAAGTTTGACGCGCTGGTTGAATGGCCCCTTTGATTCTTCCATCTCGGAAAAGCACCGTGATTGATGGAGCGAGGTTTGTGACGTAGACGTTGCCGAAAACACGACTATGTACCTTTTTTTCAGTGTTTTTACGTTCTGTGAGGCAGAAACCACTGCAAATATCGACGTTTTTGAGCTTGCCGTGGGCAAAAGCACCACTTTTTACCATATTTTTCAGTGTTTTTATGCTTTGCGAGGGAGAAAACACTGTAAATATCGATGTTTTTGAGATTGCCGTGGCCCAAAACACTGCTATTTACAGTGTTTTTGAGCCTGCTGTCAAAAAGCACTGCAATTTGCGACGTTTTCAACAACGTGGCCGCCAAAAACGCTGCTATTTGCGAGGTTTTTTACGTTTTCGTGCAAAGACGTCAAGCCTAGACAATTTACAAAAACACTGCAAAAACCAATGTTTCTGCCCAGCAAAAACGGCGAAAACTGTCGCCCAAACAGCTCCGAAATCGCAAAATCTGGTGCCGCGGCCGCCCGACAAGAGACATGAAAAAAAAGAACGTCTTGAAACCGAAAATCGAAGACCTAAATGTCAAAAAACTCAATGTGTTTTAACGTTTATCTTGCCGATTCCGGGCGGGCGCACGCGGTAACTAGTCCATTCCGTGCTGTAAAACACTGTATTTTTTTAATACCGCCGTCACGACCTATCAAAAACTCACGGTTTTGGCCTCGAAAAGGGTCCCGCCCCCCAGGTAAACCTGACCTTACAGTTGTTGATGCCATCCGGATGATCACGCCCTGAGCACCTTCGGTGCGGGCGGATTTAAAAAACTCTTCAATGTGTCGGTTTTTTCGACTTCTTTTCCCAATCCTTGCTCTTGCGTTAATACCTTTATTCCACAGTCCCCATATGCCCTTCCCTCCAGAAGTGCTTTTGGTTTGCCTTTCCAAATTGGTAGCTATCGCGAATTGGTCTTCGTGTTTCTTTGATGTGCTTGCAATTGTTTGTTAAAGTGAAAAGACAAACCATTTGCTGCTGACTGTTTAGGCTTCGTGAGGAGACAATGGGGCAAATCTGGACATGGGTATCCCACTTTTTGGAGCCAAGAATGGATGGAAGTAAGCAAGAGTCTTGCTGCAAGACGGTCCCCCAACCGAAAAACAATTCAAGTTCAAACTGATCAGAATGCCAAACCGCAAGCATCAAATAGAATGCATAGAACCGCAGGAAAAAGCAAAAGAGCGTGCAATGGCTGCATCGGAAATCTACAAGTTTTTCATGTGAGCATTGGAGCTGAGAAGTGCCACTTAGGACTCTTAAGATTGCCTACAGCCTCCAGCCCCCATGCTACTCCTTAGGATACTCCTTACACTGTCGTCATGTTCTTCGTTTGAGGCCACTGGACTTCCAGAAGATGCCTGAGTCCGGTCAAAGTGGCCACGTCGTCACAGAGGCGGTTCATTGCATCAAGATCAGGCCGATGTCTCGCATCTCAGTTTGACTCAACGTGCTTTCGGTTGCTGCCCGCTTTTTTTCGAAGCCCGAAGCCAAGTAGTAAGAATGCTACTAGTAGTGATGCCAGGAGCCCCTAGTAGCGTCCGATCGCTCCTAGTAGCGATGCCCTTTGCTCCTAGTAGCTTCTTGTTCCTAGCAAATGTTTTTTGTGTGTTTGTTATTTTCGCAAAAAGCGATCTCCTCCTAGCCTACGAGCGGTTTGTTCTTTTTTTGGTGCAAACATGCGACCCGTTTTGGTGCAAAGGTTGCATGTTCGTGCTAAAAGCGAAAGACTGAGATAGAGGGCAGCGTAAAGCTTAGACACCACGTTCGTCGTCAGTTCGTCACATGGCCACTTCAAAGCATTTCGTTGATAGTGTTCCTTTGTCCGAAACCATAGTTTCTTCACCCTGACACCCTTCCCCCAGAGATTGGGTTTGTCTCCATCGATTTGTTAGCGTGTTTCAAGAATTGCAATCCGTCTTGGGTGTTTCAAGCCATTGTTCATCTCCCTTTTTGGGTTTTCTCAGTCTCCTGTGCTGGATTTGTCCAGGGCACGAAATCCTGGAGGATTGTCCACGTGGAGCGAGGACGATGTTGACCAAATCTGCTATTCTTTACGTTGAGAGGACGCTACTAGTAACAAGGGCATTTCTATTAGGAGCAAGAACGCTAGTAGCTCCTGGCCTTACTCAACTGAGGAAGGAAGGTCTCAAGGTCTTTCTGTAAGGCTCCCTACTGAAGGAGGCCTGACCTGTGTTTTCTCTTGAAGTAATGCCCTTTGTTACTAGTAGCTTCTTGTTACTAGTAAGGCCAGGAGCCCCTAGTAGCGTCCTTTGCTCCTACCCCCCGCCCGCGCGCGCGTGCGCGAAAAGGTCCTCGGCTCGGCTCGGCCTCCTTACTTTGCCTGAATTAAACGGAGTAAGTTGGCGCTACTAGTAGCGTCCTTGTTACTACTAGTAAGGCACTTGCTACTAGAAGCGATGCACTTGTTCCTAGTAGCGAACCTTGTTACTAGGAATAGCTCACTGATTTGGTTCAGTTTTACGGAAACAGAGTGGCAACATTTAAGAACCCTCCACAGCTCTCCTCTTACACATGCCAATGTCGATCAATAACGTGCAAGTAGCATTCCTCCACCTTGTGGTTCTCAGCTCGGGTCCTTATCCTTTTCAATAACCGCCAACGCAAGAATGGCTTTAGAACACGTCACCTTGTTTCAGGAGCTTAGCACCAGCGCAATTGCATGGCAGCAGGGCGCCGACTATGCGCAACAAGCCCTGGAGCAGGCGCAACAAAGTTTCGTTTTAAAGATTTTGTTTTTGAAGGCAAATCTTTTCTTTTTTAAGGCCGCTCTGCCCCCTGCCTAGTTAATTAAGTAGGCGCCTACTGAATTAAGTAAGGGACTAGTAAGCTAAGTTAGCTTCTAGGTAGGGCGCAGGTTTCTAGAATTTTTGCAAAATTTAGTTGTATTACACCTCCAACCTACTTGCGATGACCTCCAACCTAAGAGCGAAGGCCACCCTTTACTTCGTTTAGTCAGCATTTGTCTTGGCGCTTCGTAGCACTGACCATGAAGCTACTAGGAACAAGGACATCGCTACTAGTAACAATAAAGGCATTACTACTAGGAGCAAAGAAAGCTACTAGTGACTAAGGGTATCGCTACTAGTAGTAATGCCCTTGTTACTACTAGCTTCTTGCTACTAGTAGTAAGGCCAGGAGCCCCTAGTAGCGATGCCCTTTGCTCCTAAGTAGTACGTTCCGAAATTGGAAGATGAGGCGATGCAGCGACGCGTCGCAGATAAACTGGCACAGGTTCTGCAGGAGACGCTTTGGGTGAGCAACTTCACTTGCCTTACGGCCCAAAAAAGTGTTGAAACAGCAACTTTGCTAGTAGAATTGGGTTTTGAACTCAACCACATCTTACTATATTCCTCTGGAGTGTGGTTTCTTCTTTAGGCATTCCTTTCTTGCTTTCCTTATTTCCTTTTTTCTTCCACTTGTAGAATCTTTGGGTCTTGGATTTAATCGCAATTTGCTACATTCTTCTACAGGGCACGGTTTTAGGTTCTACGTGTTGAGGATGTGCGCGATATCGAGTTTGACGACAAGACCTTGGTGCCAAAGGCCCTCCTCATTCCAACTAGTACCTTCGAGAGGGAGTTCGAAAGGAACGAAAGACAAGGGAGAGGAAGACAAGTGAAAAAATGTGTTTTAAGTTCGAAAAGGAAAAAAGAGGTTGCAAGGTCCAGAAAAGAGAAGGGTAAATTGCAAAACATATCAGGAACGGAATGTGAACAAAAGGAGGAACAGTTGTGTCTCCGTCTCTGTGAGAATCGAAAAGTGAGGCCACTGAGTTGTTGGAAATCCTTCAGAAGGTTCAACAGGAGGCGAGGTGTTATGCAGAGCGGAACGCTGCAGAGCTCTTTTTTGCGCACCGGTAGGAGCAAGGCTCGCTACTAGGAGCAAAGGGCATCGCTACTAGGAGCGATCGGACGCTACTAGGGGCTCCTGGCCTTACTACTAGTAACAATGTTTGCTACTTCAGACCTTTGTTATGTCTTTTTTGACCTTTAGATACCTTTAGACCTTTCTGCCTTTTGTGTCGAAAAGTTGCAACGAGCAGAGCAGTGTAGCAATGGTGAAAAGATGTGAAAAGGGCCTAAGGGTAAGGAGTTTTTGGGGGAGGGGTCATGTGTAGACATGTTTGCGGTGAAGAGAGAGAGAAGAAAAGCTCCATCGAAAGGACTAAAGAGAGATCCAAGAAGTAAGCACAACTAAGAGAGAGAGAGAGAGATGCTAGTAGCGTCCTCTTGTTCCTAGTAGTAAGGCCAGGAGCCCCTAGTAGCGAACATGCTCCTAGTAGGTCAGACGAGAGCCGCAAGAGTTGAGGTGGAGGAAGCCATTGAGGCACGGGATCCAGAGAACCTGCAGAAGGCACTCAGCCATGCTCACGAGGCTGGGCATTTCACGAAGCTGAACGAGCAGTGCATTAGGTGGAGGCCATTGCTACTAGTAGCAAGAAGCTACTAGGTGGAGGCCATCGCAAGTAGGTTGGAGGCCATCGCTACTAAGAACAAGAAGCTACTAGTAGCTTCTTGTTACTACTAGCGATGCCCTTGTTACTAGTAGCGTTGCCCTCTGCTCCATGTGGTTTCCCTTTTCTTTCTCACCTTTGGACAGTTTTTTTTTTTTAATGCCCTTTCTATGTGTTTGTTCTTTTTCCTTGCTTCTTTGCAGGCATAATTTGGCGGTGTTTTCGTGTTTGAACCAACAAGAATGCGTGGTTTTATTTTTGCCATCTACCCGGAAGAGAAGCCCAATGCGATTGCTGAGTCTTTCCTGAAGCTGTCTCGATTGAGGTCATGCTTCCAGGATTGGCCGAGGCCGAGCATTTTTTTGAAAAAAGGTTTCAGAGTCAACAGAGACTGCTCCTAGGAGCGATGCACCTTGTTCCTAGTAGCTTCTTGTTACTACTAGTAAGGCACTTGTTACTAGTAGCGATGCACTTGTTACTAGTAGCTTCTTGTTCCTGAGTCAACAGAGACTGTTTTCGAAAGAATATTCCGTAGCAATCGTATCTTAGACAATGGACACTCTAGTAACTACTGCTGCTAGTGAAGTTCATGAACGGCAAGCATTCTAAGCTTTGACAAAGGCGACGTATCGTTTCTCAGTTTCAGAGTTAAATAGCCGTTTCCGCTAGTCTAATAGCGATGGCCTCCAACCTACTAGCTTCTAACTACTAGTAGCTTCTTGTAGTTACTAGTAGCGATGCCAGGAGCCCCTAGTAGCGTCCTTGCTCCTAGGAGCGATGCACCTTGTTCCTAGTAGCTTCTTGTTACTAGTAGTAAGGCCAGGAGCACCTAATAGCTTCTTGTTACTACTAGTAAGGCACCTGTTACTACTAGCGTGGCACTTGTTTCTGTAAGGCCAGGAGCGAAATGATTCTGTGGCCACCGCCAAAAGCTGGTGCCCACGGCCGAGGCTGAGAAGCTGCTGGAGACCTTGCAGCGCGTTTGTCACAATCTGGACACTGCCAGGCGACAAAACAAGATGACACTACTCGTGGCTCCTGGCCTTACTACTAGTAACAAGAAGCTACAAGG